TACATTTAGCCATTTTGACAGTGAAAGGGTAGAACCAAGATGCCAACCTAGTAGCACGCTTAAATTCATGCAGTTTGAGAACCACTGAAAGTAGCTCATTAGAGCTGCTGCCATGAAAGTACTTTTAGAAAAGACAGAGGGAAGCAACAGCACGTCTGTGGGATAGCGACTGCAGATGGGATGCCAGACCAACCACAATGCATATCCATCTCTGGATTTTGTCTAGGAACCCAAGATGAATAGCGGGAGCACCAGTATTCCATGCAAGGATGAATGGTCAATTTGAAGGATGGACTCAGGCAAGAAAAACCTTTTGGCACAACACAGAGAACCAACTTTCCTTGCGGTAGATGAAGCTATAGATTCAATGTAATTGTTCCACTTCAGGTCAATGTAATTGTTCCACTTCAGGTCAGTAGACAGAGTGAGACCAAGCAGGCGCAGAGAGGCACTCTCATGAAGTTGGGCATCAGCCTCCTGATGGGAGGCAGGGAGGGTTCTCTATGGTGGGTAAATGAGAGCAGTTTTGTTTTAGAGACATTAAAGTTTACAAGCCATTTCCTGCCCCAGTCAACCACAGATTGGAGGTACTTCTCAAGGCCTACAGCCAGGTTAATTTTGTCAATGATGTCTGATTTACTATTAAGGCAGGTGTAAATAGTAGTGTCATTAATGTAGATGCCAACTTGGGAGTTGATATCAGGAAGATCATTGATGAAGATCAGTGTAGAACCCAGGATAGAGCCTTGGGGAACACCAGTGTTCTTGTGAAAGGATCTGAAGGAGAACCCATTTAGGACAACCTTTATTTCACGGTTTGACAGGAATAATTTGGGTCAGAAGGGTTACTAGACAGGGACAACAGATGAGGACTTCCAACAAGCTGGAAAGTCTAATTTAGAGATGATGTCCAAAACCATTGATGAGGTTATGTTTAATGTCACTCAACTGAGCCTCAGTTCTAGGGGGGGAAATCAAGTGTGGGTATTCCAGATGAGTTGAGGATTGAATTCGATGAGAATTTCTGAGCAAAGCATTCAGCCAAGGAAGTCAGTAACTCAAATTGATTGAATAGAGGAGGTATTGTGGATTTGCTGTTGTTCAGCATGCTCTTGCAGGGTAGCCAAGAACCAAACTTGCAAAATGCAATACATTGTTTCATTTTTGCAGCAAATGGTAGCTTTGCTTCATTGAGGACATGCTTGCATTCATTACGAGCAGAGACAAAGAAACGTCTGTTGCGATCAGACATGTCACTTCAGTACAGACAGAAGAAGTGATTTCTATGGGCAATAGCAGCTGAGCAAGCGACTGTGAACCAAAGAGAGGAGCGCAATTTATATTTTCTTGTTGGGATGAAAGCCTCCATTCCAGCTTTTATGCAGGTGGAGACAGACATGCATTTTTGAACAGAGAGATTAAAAACCACATTCCAGGGGACATTGCGAAGGAAATCAAGGAACAGGTCCCAGTCTGCACATTGATAACAGAAAGATATTCTCTTAGTAGGAGGTTCTTCGCTGGGGGAGGAGTAGAAGGAGATGTTAACAGCCACTACAGCATGATCAGAGTTGCCAAAAGGGCAGAGCCGTGTGTGACATGACAAGAGTTGGGGATGGAGGTAAAACAGAGATCAAGAAGGGAAGCCTTACTGTCAGGGTTACTGGAGAAATGCATAGGAAAGTCAACCACTTGTGTGAGGGACTGAAGGATTGAAAAGTTAAGGATATTTATGCCAGCGAGGTCAGTTACAGAGTCTTTAAGCCACATGGTATGGTAGGTGTTAAAGTTACTGAACATGAATATATGTGCAAATGGAAGCAAGAAGCTAAAGGAGTTCTACAAGCAAGGTGTGAGGAAAGAAATTGTTGAGGAGACCTTGTTGCCAATCTAGTACTTACTTAAATTCATAGAGTCTAGATACAATAGAAGAAAGTTTATATGCACAATTACCATGAAAGTATTTATAGAAAAGGCACAGGAAAGCTACATTATGGCAATGGGAAAGTAACTGAAACTGAGATGCCAAGTCAGAACCAATAATATTGCTGATTGTTTGGAATTTATCAAGGATCTCTAAACAGGAAGGACACCAGACCATACAAAAAACTATCAACTTTAGACAATTTCTTCCTATCTGGGATTCAATCAAGCAACAATTTGTACATGCATATGGAAAAAAAAAAAAAAAACATTCAAAAAGATAAGCTTTGTCAGTCAAATTAAAGAAAAAAAAATATATTATTTGAACCAATAATTTCTTTGTGGTACAAAAACTTAAAGTATAACTTGAAGAAGGACACTGAAGATTATTATCAAATCAAGAAAAAGGGGTCATAAGTCCCCTTAAATAGCCAGTTTTATTATCCACCTCATCAAAGAGAAGTCTATTTTTCAAATTTCCTTTTTTACAGAATAGAAGGGGGGTGAAAAAAAGTACATTATAACTTAAAAAACAAATAAAATATATAATTTAAAAAAAAAATATAAGTTATATTTTACCATCTTTTTTTTTTAATTATTTTTCCTTCTGTTTAAAAAAGAAAATTTGAAAAGTAGAGTTAATATGTGTGCGTGTGTGTGTGTGTATGTGTGTGTGCGCGCACATGTGTAAAATTTCAGATAACTGAAAATAACTGTAAAAGAAGAATATAAATAAAGCCAAAAGGAAAATTTATCTTAGCCAATGTGTTTTGACCTCTGACAGACTTAATCAAGGCAAATGTAAAGATTTTATCTTGCAACAAGTATTTATAAACAAAAAGCAAAAATGTTGGTAGTTTTCAAAATTTTTAAATTTGAAAACACTAACAAATATAGATGAGGCTAACTGAAAAGTCTAGATAAATTATGGAAGATGCTAAGTGACATATTTGGGAGAAAATGACAAACTTTTATATATCGGAACAATGATAGGAAATCAATGAGAAAGTGAAAAAAGAATTTTTTGTAATGCATTTCATCCTTTAGGACTTCATTGGACTAAAAGTGATGTTTACGTTGATGCAATTACAGATGCGCATGAAGGAGAGGGGAGATGCTGAAATTTGAAAGATTTTAATTTATTTTTTATGTTTCCCTATATAGTCTAGCCAATTCCATTTAATTTCTTTTTGTTTATATTTTTATAATTTTTGTTATTAATCATTGTGATAATATAAGATCTGCCAAGAAAAGCGAAATTTTGTAAGAACCTAAACATAAATTTACTGTGGATGATCTAGCGATTAAAGCACTTCCTATACACTTTGTGTACAATATATACAGGGTGCAATAGATAAATTTTCATCTAAATTACGCAAAAATAAAAATAATACTGGCATCTCATTTTAAACAGATATATTTACCAAAATTACGCAATAATATCTTGAAATACTTAGGAGTAAATTTATTCAATAAAAACTGTCATTGGCTTCAATTTTAGGAAAATAAGTGAAATAAAAAATTTGGCAACTTTTTGCAACTTGATATCTGAGCATTTTTGTGTAAATGCCTGCAATGAAGTTTCTAAGAAAAGTGATTATGAGCCTGCTGCAATAATTATGTCTTAACTTTCATTGCCATGTTTAAAACGGTTTGAAGAGTGCTGTATATAAAAAGGACTGACTTCAGTGAATTATGTTTTGCCTGAACTTATTATAAAATCTAAAGTATGTATAGTCAGTACATGTAACGAGGTTTACTGATGAACATTTGAAATCGTTTCTCTTGGTTGGATGCAGCAATACCAAAACAAATAATTATATCTTAAAAGGTAAACACCAGTTTCACAAATCTCACGAACCTTTTGTTCTACTTAGTTTGTGAGATTCGGATGTGTGTGCACTTGGTGTAATATAACTACTTTATTGCTATTATTGCCTTCTTGGATAACTTTAGCAAATAAGTATGTTTGTTGTTTTTATTTTTGTGCATTCAGTATATTGAACAAAATAGTTATCCAGCCCACACTAGTCATTCTCAGTTATCTGACCCTCTGTGAAAAAAGTTTGGTGACCCCTGCATTAGCTGATTAAATCCTACTTACGATGTCATCTAATGATTAAATATTTAATACAAAAATTCTTTCCCTTAATTATTCCATTATTTATCTGATAACATAGATTTTTTATAGTGTTTAAAAAAAAAAAAAAAAAAGATTACTTCACGATATTTAAAAAGAAATCAATGCTTTGTGATATGGTTTTCAAGATAAACTAATTTTTACCTATTTAGAAAAAAAAATATTTACCTCAAAGCTTTATCTGCTTATCCTCAGTTCACTTTAGTTGTTGCTGCTGTTTTAAATCTCAGTCTTTTCTCTTGCTATCAGTCTTTTGAGATTTCATTATTTATATACAAAATCTGCTTTGAATTGGTAAGTGGAGAAAAAAATATCTGGTTTCTTTAAATAATATAGCAAAGTTATACCAATCTCATATTAACAACTAATGTTGGACGCTTATAGCTTAAAACTTTGAAATTTCATTAAGAACAAAGATTGACCGATTCATTCATTCATTTTCTACTGCTTAACGCTTTGCAGGTTATTTAAAGCCAGAAATTAACTTTAGACTGTAAGATTTTTTTTTTAATAAATATAATAATGGTTTAGTGATACAAGTCTTACTAATACTCATAGCTGGTGGAAAAAGATGCATTCACACCTAATCAGAATCTGATAAACAAGAAATTATAATGTGGATAAAAAAAAAAAAAGGGGGGAATCAATTCTATATTATAGTCAATATATAAACTGATCCCTCACTTTGTGGTCACGTTATTTTCTATACATTTATATTCCAGAGAATGTAAATAATCTAAAAGACATGACTGTGTAGCTAATCAGTATTTCATTGATTGATGAATTCATTCATTTTCAATGGCTTATTAACCTTTTGCAGGTTACCTAAAGCCAGGAAATATTTTTAGATTGTAAGAAATTTTTTTTGGGGGGGGGGGGCGATAATGATTTGTAGTGATACAAAACTTACTAATAAACTCATAGCTGTACATACAAGCTTACGGCACCTAGTATTCCCAAGTGGTTACTCATCTAGCTACTGACCAGGCTCAACATTGCTTAACTTTGGTGATCGTACAGGCTGGACAATTTACTCAGATGAAGCAACAGATATGGTTCTATAGATAGGTGCTGAGATAGATGGAACATGTGAGCAACAAGAAACTTAAGGAAAATGGATTTATTTCAGGATATTAAATATATATATATATATATATATATATATATTTACTTTAGGGTTAGGGATCAGACTTTAGGAGGTTCTAATGTGTTTGTGTGTTCATATATATATATATATATATATATATATATATATATATATATATATATATATATATATATATATATATTATTTGTTTGAAATGATCTAACAAAACTCCAATTGTTGTGATCTAATAAATTTGCTTAAAACTAATTTGATTTACAAATAATAACTAGCGATTTTGTACTTTGTGGAATTTTGTCTAATTAAAACGGGAATAGTAAAAAAGGCAGTCCAAACAAAATAAATTGATTATCTCCACAGACATTGTTGTCCCTACATTAAACAAATAATCAAATATTTACATTAAAGAAAAAAAAGTAAATAAGAAGCCTAAATTTTATTTTCAGCTGAAAAGAAAATGTCATAGATTTATTTTGGTTTCTCTTTTATTATTTCATATGAAACATTAAAGTGATTAATTCTGCCAACTCCCAAATAATATTCTGCATTAGTCTTGGTTATTTGGACTTATAACCACAACATTATAGAAAATGTTTTCCTCAATCTTAAGTACACCTATTTTCACACTCCTCACTGGTCTTTTGAACCCTTGTGTCTTAACAGCATTATTGTCTTGCTTGGGTCTTGAAACAATGTATTGAGATTCAATAAAACAGAAAGAATTCACAACTAAAATAGATACCAATGAACCATTTAATTAACCTGTTCCCCATTTTTATTATTTTTACACCTCGTATTATATAAAACATTTTTTGATCAATATCTTTTCATGTTAAAAATTTTATGTTTAATAGTGAAATATCTCTTGGAAGAAAAAGATTAGCAAAAGAATGACAAAGCTTGTTTCAAGACCAAGTTGAAGCAAGATGATTTCTTAATAGACAAAAGTATTAGAGTGCCTCACAGGAAAAGCTTGAACAAATAAGACTGCAATTTAAGAAATTGCAGAGTAAAAGGAACTGATTAATTAAATGGTTCATTTTGCTCAGGAACTAATTTTGTCTAAATGCAGATAGTCATTTTAATAATTTATATAAGTAAAATATTTAAGTAATCACACAAATTTACTAACAAGTTGATTTACCTCTCTTCACTATAGATGGGACAGGAAATATATTAAAAAATATATATTGATCATTTTGTCTAAATGCAGATAATTTATACAAATAAAATATTTATTAAAATGACTAAAGAAAGTAATCATTCATAAATTTACTAATTTAAATTTATTTATCTCCTTCTCCATTACAGATGGGACAGAAAATATATAAATAAATACACATTGATAATTATTGTATGGTTTGATTGATGCTAGAGACAAGCATTTCATGAGATCATGAAAATGTGTGTGTGTGTGTGTGTGTGTGTGTATTGAAAGCAAGCAATGTAAGTTTTGTAAAATCATGAAAATGTGTGTGTGTGTGTGTGTGTGTGTGTTTGTGTGTATTGAAAGCAAGCAATGTAAGTTTTGTAAAGATATATCTATAATGTTACTATTTGATTAGAATATAACAAAAGAAATGATTATTGATTTTATATTTCTACGTTGTCACATCATATTTAGAACAATAGTTATGTTAACCAGATAATTACTAAAGTTTTGTGTCTACTGCTGTCTTTTGTTTTGAAATTATCAGGTAGGCAAGGTGTACAGACATGTATTTGCCAGTCCTCAAGACCCAGGTAGCCAAGTTCATCTTTGCTTGTAACCCAAGCAACTGCCAGTGTATTAAGTAAAAAAAAAAAAAATTCTTTTGAAAGAATTCATCACTTTTAGAAGAAAAAGAGACAAGTGTATACCTATCAGATAAAATGCATTCATGTGTCTGGTATATGTTTGCAAACATGTAAACAGATAGAGACTTATTGTATGCGTCATATCCCTTCAGGATATGGGCAGTCATGGCTCTTTGCAATTTCCTATCCTTTGTGGTCCTTAGTAAGGTTTAGTTGTTTTTGCTATATTTCCTAATCCCTGTTCTGGCAACCATTTGCACAAGTTAGGTTATGTAGAGCTTTCCTTTAAATGTTAGTTTTATTGTCAGGTCACTCTATAAATGCTGCTGATACCATGTGATCCAATTCAACCTTCTGCACAGTCAGGTCATTGGCGACTAAACCAGTTACCCCCCCCACCAGGCTTTTATGATGAGGAGGTTAGCTAGACATCCAAAAAACTAAACCCGTCTCACTGAGAGTTACAAACAACTGGGATAAAGAGATTTTGTAATGGTTGAAATCAACATGACAATGACATTGAAAGATGATTTTCACTTTGTTTTAATTTAATCATTTCACCCCAAACAAGGCAATAAAGCAAGTGGTTACTGTGTCTTAGAGAATAAGAGGAAAAAAAAAAAAAACAAACACTATTAAGGACAGAGAGCACTTAAAAGAACAAAAATTAAGACAGTCAATAATGATTGATATTGCATTTAAATTTTTGAAGAGCAAACTTGACTGGAAAAAAGAAACTGAAAGTTCCACAAGCAAGAAGTATGATAAAAGAAACTATTAGCAAAAACTTAGTTACATCTCTTGCCCTTTCAATTATAAAATGATGAGACCTTGCTGCCAACCTAGTACTGCACTTAAATTCATAAAGTCTAGGTACCATAGAGGAAAGTTCAAGAGAACAATTACCACGAAAGTATTGATAGAAAGGCACAGGGAATCTACATTACAACAGTGGGATTAAAAGCGAGATGCCAGGTCAGGACCAATAACATTGCAATTCCTGTTCAATTTGTGAGGAAAAGATGGCCAAATACTAATTGCAAAGTTAAGCTTGGCTTATTTTGAGGTTTTCAAGAAGTCTAATGCAAACTACCTTTGAAATAGGAAATTAAAAAAAAAAAAAAAAAAAAAAAAAAAAAAAAAGTCTCCTGGTCACAATTCTTTTACTTCATTAATATCAAACAAAATTAACATCCATATTTTTATCCCTTTTTTCCCCCCCGTTATTGATTAATTTATATAATTTCAGAAAACAATCAATAGTGGGATAATAAATAAGCCTTTGCTAGTAAACATTAAAGACTAATAAAATGAGACAAACTTGTACAACTGTCAGAGGAAAATCTACTATGTTTTGGTAGATAGAACAAAATGTCAGTGTGAAGAAATAAATGTCAGTGGTCACAAGTAAAGAAATAAAATGTTCTTCATGAACAATTGCAAATTACTAAAAGGATAAAGTTTTATATAAACGGCTCTTGAAATGCAGCTTGCCAGAAATAAGTCCAAGGACAAAAACACTCTTCAGAAATCAAAATTCTTCAAGAATCTTTTTAGAAGTCAAAAACATTACAACCCTAGATGTTCAGTTCTTTATACATGTAGATCTCAAACTTCAAAGTTTCCTTTCAATCTTTTCTTTACGGTAGCATGAAAAGTCAAATCATGGTACTTCACAACTTCCTATCTTGTGTGGCTTTTAGCAGTTTTTATTCCCTTCACTAAGACTCCCACCCTCTATTCCACCATTCATTCACACAAGCTCATCAGGTAAGTGCTTCACTGCCTTTCCCTAGCTCTCTTGCCCTCAATGTGTCCCATGAGGGTTAAATTTCCCAAGCTCTACTTTCTCATTATGTGTCCAAAGAAATTCAGCTATCTCTTCCTGATTCTGAGTAGCAGTGTTCTTCCTATGGCCATTTTCTTTTTTGTTGCTTACTTGCTGGGGTTAACAGTGTTTCCCTAACTTTATTCAACCAGCACCCTTCTGAACAAACTTTTATGTCAACACCCACCCTGTCAAATTAAATTTAATATTATATTGAATTTATCTTTCATATCAAGATGACACTTAGATATTATTGCAAAAATAATTTTAATATTGTTTTCATTTCTATTATAAATGCCAATTATTAAAAAAAAAATTTGATAGCTTATCTCAATGTTTTCAATGCAATGATTAACTTGGTGGTTACTGGCTAAGGTGCTTAATCTAGGTTCCATGCTTCTTCTATGCCTCTTGATTCCTTGGAGAACATAGGGCTTCCCGCCTTGCTTGGGGTGAAACACTTCAAAAAAAAAAAAAAAAAAAAAAAAAGAGAGTGTGTGCATGCAATTATAAAGGTGAGACAAGCTTCTACTTATAGGCATGCAAATCTTTCTCCTCTCTGAACATTGACAACTTTGGAGAAAGTCCACTCACATTTTCAAAGCTATTAAGGTTTCGTTTCCTTCTCATCTTATGTGGCCTAAAGCTTCATGTCGACCCTCCCAAAACTACCTAACAGTAAATGGGGGAGGATAAAAATGAAAATATTTGAATTTCTGGAATGAAGAGTTATTTACATTTGGACTAATGTACCCCATTTTTTTTTTTTTTAAACCCACAATGTTTCAGCCATTATGCTCTCCAGCCATCTTCGGGTGTGTACAACTGGGTAAGCTTTGGGGAATTTTGAACTGAATCATTTAATCTATGAAGATCGATGGTCTAGACACCTGAAGAATTGTTGGAGGGCGCAACAACCAAAAGTTTGTAGTGATAACAAAGAACATTAGTTTGAACATAAATAACTTTGCAAATGCGAAGTTGTCTGCAGTTTGTGCCTAGTTTCTGTTCAAGTCACCCCCGCAATACTTCATACATTTACACAATCACTGCAGCAACCATCTTGTGACATTTAGTTTCATGCTCTATTTTGATTAGTTGCTAAGCAAAACATTTTTTTTCTGGTATATTTTATTTCTGACTACATTCCAGAAGATTTTTTTTTATGTAAATCTTTGATTGTGAGAGAAACTACATAGATTAGGGGTTGTCAAACAGGTTTCAAGCAACTCCTTAGGGGTCAGTGAGGAGTTCCAGGGATCGATTGGGGATTGGTGTACAAATGACACTG